AATAAAAATCCCGACAATAACGTCATGCTTTAGGCTCTATATTTTCATGCCATTAATCTTAGGGGGTAAATATTTTAGGTAAAAACCCTAACGTGGGAAAGAGACCATAAGTTGCTGCCAACATCAAGGAAGCAAGATTGCCATACTAAGGTAATTGGTATTTTGACATTTGCAATTGAGAATTTGACAAATGTAAATAATAAAATAAAGTTTTTATAACTCCATGCGAATGAAGCCGCACGAGAACAGCTAGTTATCTATAAGTTTTGTTGCTAATAAAATTATTTTAAATAATAATTACTTACTTTCTTTATTTTAAGACACAAAACACAAGAAAGCTTTCAATAACTAATATTTACAAAAATATAAAACTGTCTAAATTGTCTAAAGCAAAACACTACAAAAATAATAAAAAAAGAACAGAATATGAAATAGGCAAGCGATAAAAAGAAGGCTAAAAAATCTTAATTTTCTAATTCCACTTTAGGTCTCAAACGCCCCCAACTCTTTCTATATTCCAAAGATTTAATTCCTGTTTTTTTGTATCAATAATTCTGTACCTTAAAGAAATCATTCTAAAAAAGACAAATTATCCTGATATCTAAGTAATAGAAGTAACTTTCACAGATTTCCTTTCTTTCTATAATCATAAAATATATTATTAGTGGTAGTGCCCGCTTTAACATCGGACTGTAGGGCTCGTTCGGTGTAATACCACGACCATACAGAAAACAGGCGTGAAGTGGAAGCAATTCCGTGTACAGTCTGATGAGTTTGGTGCCGGAGGCCTAATTTAAGTCCCTTTCTCTTTACCATCCTTTTCTTATGAGAGGATGGGATGAGGAAGTGGATTTGACGATGGAGATGCATAGGAAGGGGAGATATCCTCTTTATGTGTGTCTCCTCCGTCGGATAAGGGTTGGCAACGCATCTGCAATTGCGGATGTCTATGGGTAGCGCTTCGCCATTTTGGCGGGTGGCCGCTTGCTCGTTTGACACCTTGTGTTATAAAAAAAAATAAAAAAAAAAACAAAATGAAAGTTTTACAGTACATTAATGTAGAGCGATCGTCGCTGCAACGTGTCCTGCGATCGGAAGCCAGAGTCCGAACTGCAGACGCTCGACAGACGCAGCCCTGACTATACAACACAAACAAACAAACAAAAATGCAAATAGCAAAAGAAATATAAATACAATTCTAAACAGAAACAGTTTGAAACAGCAAAAATAAGCACTAAAGAATCTAAAAAAAAAAACACAAATTTACGACATCATAACAAAAAAAAAGATAGCAAATGAAGACAAAATATTACTTTAATTAAGGCAGTTTCAAAACATTTAACTAAATCAGCCAAATTAAAATGAAATATATAATATCAAGCATATTTACATGCAAATATGAAATACCTGCGACAAACATCTTTGAGATTCTCCGCAAGTTGCTGGAATCGTTCCTCCGGACGAATTAGATATCGGCGTTGAACAACTAACTGTAGATCCGGACACACCTGGAAAAATAAGACAAAAAAATTATTTACAAATACATCTCGAAGTCGCGGGCAACAGGTAGTCTATACTTATAATAAAGAAGAAAGATTTATTTGTTTTAATGTTGAAATAACACAAAACTACTGGGTCGATTCCAAAAATTCTTTCACTATTATAAAAACATCATCAATGAGCAACATAGGCCGTTTTTAGTATTTTTTTAATTTCATGCGAGCGAAGTCTCGGGCAACAGCTAGATTAGACTAATATAATAAAGAAGAAAGATTTGTATTTTTGTTGGTATTGAAATAACTCAAAAACTATTGGGTTAATTTCAAAAAATATTTCACTATTAAAAAAGCTACGTTATAACTGAGTAACATAGTCCATTTTTTATTAGTTTTTTTAATTCACGCGAGCGAAGTATCTGGCAACAGCTAGTCTACACTAATATAAGGACACTACACTAAAAGAAGAAAGATTTGTATTTGTGTTTGTATTGCAAAAACTCAACTCAAACTTGGACTAATTTCAAAAAATATTTTACTATTAAAAAGCTACGTTATAACTGAGTATCATAGGCCATTTTTTTTTACTTTCTTAATTTCAGCTTGTGTTAAATCTGAAATTATTGTTGTCCCTCCCTTTAGTAAAAAAAAATACTCCACTTCATACAAATGCAAACCTATACTAAACCGTTTCAATAAAGTTTACTTAATATATGTCCATCTATGAGGATTACCTAACACTAATTCTTCTAAACATAACCTAGAATTAGGTTCAGAAGGACCTAAATAATCTAATTACAATCTGTCTGTCTGTGAGCTGACACTTACCATGTTGCTGGTCAGAACATTGACTATTCAATGAGGATATCGAAGTGAGAGAAGACTTTCGGCTCCCGAGACGAGATGACGCTGACGGCGAATGGGGGGCGGATTCGCTCTCCGCCCAGCCGCTGTAGCAAGACTTCACGTCACAAATCACCTGGAACACATAACAACACCTATGTACAATAGTGACGCGACGTCATCCATTGATAAGTTCACATTAAGCAACAAGCAAGCTGGCACTTGAATCCACCGAGAAAGCGAAGCGATCGTTGCCTATAGACATCCGCAATTGCAGATGCATTGCCTACCCTTAATCAACGCAGGAGAAACACAAAATGGCCTAATTTAATCCCTTCCCCTTTCCACCCTTTTCTTGAGAGGAAAGGATGGGAAGGAAAAGTGGATTTGACGGTGGAGGAGACGTATAGAAAGGGAAAATTTCCTCTTTATGTGCCTCTCCTCTTTCGTCAATGAAGAGTAGGCAACGCATCAGCAATTGCGGATGTTTATGGGCAGCGGTCGCTTTCCATTTCAGTGGATTTAGGTGGCCGCTTGTTCGTTTGCCACCTTATATTATAAAAAAAAAGATTTCCCCTTCCTATCCTTCCCCTCCAACATCAAATGCACTTTCCCTTCCCATTCTTTCCGTATAAGGAAATGGTGGGAAAGGGACTAAAATTAGGCCTCCGGCACCACACTCATCAGACTATGCGGAATTGCTCCCACTTGACGCCTGTCTTCTCTGTGTGTCTCTGTAGTTTCCAGAATGTTCTATCGCAACGCCATCTGTTGGCATCGGAAAAGACACTCGCGACAAGATGTATGGAACATACGAAGCGTCATCGAGAATGTTCTATTGAAATATGTTATTTCAAACAATCGAGAAAGTTCTGGAATAAAATGACAAATGAATAACGAAAAGAAGATCGAAATTCGGGGTATATAAGGGGAGTCATACGGCGGAAAATAAACTGTGAAGAAGTCTTAAGTGAACTGTGAAGAAAATAAAGTCCCCGAGAGGTAAAAGTGCTTGTGTTTTAGTGTTAGTGATGTTTTTTGAATCGCACAGTTCTAGTGATTCTGTGTTTGTGTGTGTCGTGTAATAAAAGAAGAATGATCTAAATATTTTAACTCTATCCCCGAGCACAATAAGATGGAAGAAACCTTGTACCATTGAAGTTTAGGGATTACTTACACAAATAAGTTACATTAATGTTACTTTCACAAAGGACTGTCAAGTTAAGTCATATTACTTAAGACATAAAAATGATTTTAAAATATACCTGGAGACTGGCGGCCGGTAGAGTCCTGGGTTCGGATGTGTGTCGCAGCAGCTGTTCACTGCCCTCCTGCAAGTGGCCCACTTCAGCGAGCATCGCGACTTCACTCTCCTAGAAAAAAAATTAAAGAAAAACATTAAATACAAACATCTTGATTTCATTTCACTCTTAGTAGTTCTCTTTAGTTAAGAATCTAGCAGTTCCCGTGCAGCTTCATAAGCATGAAATTACAAAAACTTTTATTTTACTGTTTATATTTGTAAAATTTTCAATTGCAAATGTCAAAATTACAATTTACAAATGACAAACTTGCTTTCTTAACGTTGGCAGCTTGTATTTTATGGTCCCTTTCACACATGAAGGTATTTTTCCAATTTATTTACCCCCTAAGTGTAATAGCGTGAAAATATATAGCCTAAACCGCGTAAAGTGCAGGGCTTTTTATCGTGGAACGAATTATTCAAAAATATGCTGTGATTCCTGACATCTCACGCCACGAAGTAGTCAGTGTTTACGCTTCATCATTTATTTTTATTTATTTATTTAATACTTTTGCACAAATAATACAACAAAGCTTAAATTAACATAGATAACGCTTGCTCACCACAACGGGATCGAGTAGAGTAACAAAGTGGCAGAAACGACTACGCTCCTCAATCAAAGCAGCCTTAACGGCTTTCTCTTCCATTTCTTCCAATTGCTGTTTGCGCTCCTGAACGTCCTGAAAACATAAAATCAAAACACTAAAAAAGTGAAACGACAGTATAGGTCCTTATCCAACTATTCTTATTTTGCTATAAAATTACTTTCAGTCCAAATCTGTGAAGTTTTGTAGACTACATTCGTATTAGAGAATCGTATAACCATTCCATTAGACTAACATATAGCTCTTTCTTATCTGAAGAGAGCACGACCAAATCTTTCATCAAAGCAGGCTGGACCACTTTTTACACGTTCGTAACTTTGTGTTAGGAGTTCTAACTATTTTTATAAGGTGGTAAACGAGCTAGCGGCCACCTAAATCCGTCAAAAAGGATCGCAGCCATCCGCTATTGTAGATGCGTTGCCTATCCTTAATCTACGAAGAAGCCGCACATAAAGACATGTTCCTCTACCATGTAATCAAATTAACCTTCTCATCCTTTTCTTATAAGAAAAATGTAGATAAAGACTAATATAAGCCTCTTAATTAATAGTTATACTTAGTGACTGAGTAAGTTACCTGCATAGACACGTCAGCCCGTCGTTTAGCGTCAGGCGGCGCGCGCCTTGCTTTCCTCGCATGCCGCTGGGCCTCTTGCACGCGCCGGCGCAACTCTGCCCGGGCCCGCTTGCAGTCACGTGCATGTTCTCGGCCCAGAGCACCGCCGCAAGCTCCACGCCTCCATTCTTCAGCGCGTTCACACAACGGCGAGATCAGACGATCCATCAGTGTGCTGAAATACACAAATAAAGGGTTATGAGAATCTAAACGCAAGTACAATTGAAGATTATATTACGACTTCTCACAGAACATAATATTCCAAAAGGTCGTTACTATCCTTTGTTATTATTATGTTATTACCAGCTTTCGGCCGCGATTCCGTCTGCGTGGTATAAAAAAAAACAAAAGGGAGTTGGCTATATCTACATCTGTACCAAATTTCATCGAAATCCGTTTAGCCCTTTAGGCTACAAACTCTAACAAACATCCATCCATCTAAACTTTCGCTTTTATTATATTAGTAGGATTGATGATATATTTAATATATTACTGTAGAGATAACAATAAGTAAAAATCCTACTAATATTAAAAAAAAAACGAAAGTTTATATGGACGTTGGTTAGAGTTTGTTGAATTAACTGCTAAACAGATTTCCATGAAATTTAGCATAGATGTAAAGCTTACTCGGGAAGAACAAAAATCCTGCTTATTTTTGTTTTTTATTTCCACGCGGTAGAAATCTCGGGTGATATAAAATACCCAACTAATCCAAGATGGTAATGTTTTAACGCGTATGTAAGTTTTTTACGAATATGGTTAGCGTATGGTTAGTACTATTGTAACGAGCGCTTATCTAACCAACATTTGACGAATGATATGTATTTAAACTGTTTTCCGCTTAACTTCAAAAAGGATTAGTCAGTTATTTTATTAACAATTAGAAAAATAACACTAACATGAAGTAAAAAGATATAATTTACGAGTGTATAATTATTATTTGCGTAACTAATTCTATAGACAGGAAATTTTAATTCCAACAAATTATATTTAACCAATAATTGAAGCCTTAAAAGGTATCCTGTATTTAATTAACATTATTTGTCATCGACCACATTGAAATAGGTTTGTATATGTTTTCGAATTTCATAGGTACATAATTTACTCAATGTTCTTACGGTGAAGGAAAACATCGTGATCCCTGCACATATCGGCGAAGAAATTCAAAGATATGTGAAGTCGACCCGCAGTGCAGGATGACTGTGGCCTAGTCACTTTAACTTAGGCGTAAGCTGTGATGACATTGCTAAGATCACTTTAGAAGACATTAAATCTGTCTGCTGTCCCATATAGTGTCAGAACAACGAAGACAAATGAGAAAATAGCATTTTTACCTTATGAAAGTCTTCATTCTGGATTCTATTGCCCGATGACGCAGGCAAACCCTTGTTAGTGCTGTGCCGATTTCCTTTGTCGCTCCTGTAACAAATATATCAAATAAAATTAATCGGAAAACCGCAACAAATATCAGTATTTAACACAGTAGAGGTAAATTTATAAATTAATAGAGGACATATAGTCACCCAGCACGAACATGCATCCAATTCCATACATTTCTTTATTATTGTCAATAAATGTCAACCTCAAAAATCCTAATGGAGGTAAGTTAATTTGCAATTATATTTTTACAACTTACGGAGGGTATTGTGTTTGTTACGTTCAAGGCATTTTACCAACATACTATAATCAATATCGCACGTATTTTTTTTTAAACAAATTCAGTAGATATTTTAAATTAGCTGTTCGTCACAATGAACACAATCGAATTAAGGATAAACCTACTTTAAAAAGTGTGGTATTTATGTTTCATAATCTCTGTCTTCCATGAGGTGCAGTATTTTATTAAAGTACTTAATAGTTATTTATTACAATTATCTTTAACAAAATACCTTTGTAAATATGACAAACCGTAAACTGTACTTAGATACTAGCAAGCTAGCTTTTTTATCCCAGTGGGTGGAACATTTCGAGTGTTGCCGGGTTTTATTTTCTTACCATTTACTACCCGAAAAATGTGAATAAAATTATCATTGTTTAAGATTAAATACATAGGTATTCTTACAAAACACATACATTATTAACGGAGTTTTCAATAACTTGCTTTTAGAAATCGGTTGCTCGTTACCAGGCGGTAAAATTGGTAAATGTTTGAAATATGAACAATGCGAGAGTCTCAAGATACATCGGGAACTATATACCGAGGATATTATAGGAGACTGTTACAATGGAAGACATGAACCTATGGTAAGTTATAACATTTTATTTATTACTAGCTTTCGCCCGCGACTCAGTCCGGATGAAACCTTAAAAAGTCAAAATTGAGTGTCCCGTGTGTTCTTCCAGAATATGCTTAAAATCTGTTCAAAATCTCGTCGAGATCTATTAAAGCCAAGGCTACAAATTCTAACAAACAACCATACATCTTTTGCATTTGTAATATTATTTTGTTTTACAATTTGTAGTTCGTATGTTTTCTAATACCGTGGGTATGTCGCGGGTTACATCTAGTAATTAACAATTTATTTATTTTTTTTCAATAAATTTATTGCCAGATATGTTGTATCGCAACTGAGGATATAAAGGAAAACGAACATACGGACGAAACAACAACAACAACGACAACTAACAACGATAATGAAACTACATCCAATGATTTGGGTAAGTTAAACCAATCTATCATCACCAGCTACCTTAAGAGTGACTAGGACAGTAGTTGGATAGTCAACTGCACTGGCCCACTGCAGATTGATTTCACACATCTTATAATTCCTTCGATATATGCAGGCATCACGATGTTTTCCTTCACCGTAAGAACGTGGGGTATGTACATATGAAATTCAAAAATCGAAAATCACTTTGGTACGGCGAGATACGAACTTAGGACGTTTAGATTACAATTCAAGTGCTTAAACCCCTGAACCACCGACTTACTTATACAAGGTTTTAGTATGTTTGGGCTGAAATGTATTTAAAACACTGTGTTGGCTTTATGTGGTAAGGACAAGTATAATCTATCTATACTCCACACTCATAAAGTTTTCAGATTATCCAATTTATCTACTAATGAAATAAAGCGTAAACACACACTACTTCGTGGCGTAGGATGTCAGCAAACACAGCATATTTTTGACTAATTCTTCCTTTAATCAAAAGCCATATACCTACGACACACTTTAGGCTACATATTTTCACGCTATTCAACTTAGGGGTCAATAAATTGGATAACACTTTCATGTGGCTACAAGCGCACATCAAGGAAGCAAGGTTATCATTTGTCATTTGTGCATATGATTTTTGACATTTGTATTTTGAATTTCACTAATATAATAAAAAAATAAACTGTCTACAATTTCATGTGGATGAAGCCGCACGGGAGCATAGCTCTTCCCTTGCGGCTTAGACTAGCGTCTGTATAAAAATTTTCTTGCATTTGCAGCAAGCACCTGCATATTACCTGACGATCTATCCGCCGAATGTGTTAATATTGAGGAATGTGAAAGTTTGAACAATAATAGTAATAAATACAATGAAACCGTATTAAATGAAATTTCAAAACCATGCAAATTAAACGGGCAAAACAAGGTAAGAAGATATACCATTTTGTTAACATATAAACATGCATTACTATGCACAGTAATGTTAATTATAATTATCAAGATATATGTAGCTACACGCGCACAAGCGCGATTTCGTCCACGCAATCTTAAGAAAAAAAAGTAGCCTTTAATATGCCTGCCAAGCCAAGTCAGCTACCCTTCAGTGAAAGTCTAGTCGAAATCGAACCAGCCGTTTCGGAGATTACCCAGAACTACCGCGAACTTGCGGACAGTCAGACAGACAGACAAAAAAAATTAAAAGGCGCTTTACGTTATGAGCAACATAAATACATCATTTTCTCGAAATTTGGAATTTTTCTTTTGATATTACAAACAGACACGCCAATTTTATTGTATGTATAGATATATAGATAGATGTTATAGCTTCTATTATTACGCATTATCAGTACAATCAAAATTTTAAGCCATTTCGAGACCATGATATTTACACTATCCATAATTAAGTTTCCAGAGCAGTGGATACCCCATTGCAATCTGATGTGTGATCAAATAGATTTCTATATGTCATTTACTAGAAATATAAATTCCAATATAAGCATTAAATGAAAAATAATCTATAGTAATACAAAGAGGAAATATTTGTATATTGAATTTTTATATTTATTGAAATAACTACTGGGCCGATTTCAAAAATTACTTTGCCATTAGAAAGCTACGTTATCACTGAGTAACGTTAGCTATAGTTTTAAATTTCACGTGGAGTAAGTCGCGAGCAACAGCTAGTTATTTAATAAAATTCCAGATTTGTTGCCCCTCTATGGAACAACAGTTAGTGCCGACACGCAACGAGTGCAAAACACCCGACGGTCAACAAGGGGAATGTATTAAATTTGATGCCTGCGATGATTTCGTTAGACATATAGGAGAAACATATAATGTCGACATTAGAAAGAAAATGTTTCGAGAACTCAGGTAGATATCGTTAAAACTAGTTTAAAAGAGGAATCAGACAAAAAGGATGTTATTTCAATTCTGAAATTCTCAACCTTTCCATGCTATTATTATAAGGAAATTATGGGACGAGTGGATTTGATAATGGAAGAGACGCATACGAAGAGGAAGCATCCTTTTTATGTGCATCATTTGGTAGTAGTAATTGGGTTTTGGCAACGCATCTGCTATTGTGGATGTCTAAGGGCAGTGGCTATGCCTTTTCGGCGACTCCACGTGGTCAATCGATCTATTCTTTTTTTTAAATAAAAAATATTAGTAGGTTTTTGTTAATTTACTAATATTTCCTTTAACCTTTCCAGCTAAACTCTAGACTTGTACTAGGATATGGTTCACAACAATAGTCCAATGGATTCGAACCCTCGACTGCAAGATCGGAAATCCGTACCCTAAAACCTTAGGCGCTTGATTGGTATTATAAAAAAAAAGGCTGAATTATTCAAAAAATATTAATATTACAGGTGCGAAGCTACAGATTCAGCTAAAATATGTTGTGCTCTAACGTCTTCTAACGACTCATCAGAAATGATAGATGAAAATAATATAAATAGCGTTGACGACGAAGAAACGGTATGCGTCCCATCCGCGGAGCCTTATAAACTAAACAGTAGTTGCTGTGGACAGACAAACGGCGAAGCTAGAATTATGGGTAAGTTAACTAGGGTTTTAAGGAAATATTCTTCAATGCTTTTTGACCGACTTCCCAAAAGAAGGAGGTCTCAATTCTGTATCACGCCCCTACTGGGGGCTCGGAGCCCACCCTAAGTTACGGTTACTGGGCCATAGTCAACCACGCTGCACTGCGGGTTGACTTCACACATATCTTTGAATTTCTATATGTATATCATCGCCTATATATGCAGGCATCACAATGTCTCTTTCACCGTAAGAACGTAGGGTACATATGAAATTAAAAAGATTCCTTTCTAAATTATAGTATTTATGTTTGTTTTGTAACATTCCAGGTGGCTCCGAAACCCAAATTAATGCGTACCCGTGGTTGGGCATGATAGAATACGACAACAAGATATTAAATTGCGGAGTGGTTCTGATCAGCGGAATGTATGCATTGACAGCAGCACACTGCTTTTACTTATCTGAAGCCAAACCGTAAGTTATTTAATGCTGTTACACGAGACTTCGCTCGCGTAAAATAAAAAAATAATCCTATACTACTCTCAGATAACCTTTCTAACGGTGAAAGCATTTTTAAAATCGGCCTAGTAGTTTTCGAGTTATTGCAATACAATCAACTTGCCCTTATCCCTTATGGAGGGTCGGCACAGTATGTGCTGCTCTTCCATACATCTCTATTAACGGTCATATCTGAATCCACTCCTACAAAGATATATATCTGTTGCATACTTTGTAGACTCAGTATTATCTATAAGTTTGAAAGGAACGTTGAGAATGAATAAAAATCACCAATTTAAGTTTTATGCTCTAATCGATTCTGATGTTTAAGAAAATATATCTGGCTGGGAAAATATAATATAAAAACAGAAAAACGCGACTGCATGGTACTGGATGGAGGGAGAGTAATGTGTAATAATGGGGCTCTCAAAGTGCCAATTGAAAACATTTTTAATCGTAAACAATCGTCCAAAAAGAGGAGAGATTTGGAGGACATCGCGATAGTCAAATTCAGCGAAATGGTTAACTTCACAGGTAATAAACCAATGCCTTATCTGGGTGCACCAAGGCGAACACGACCACACTTTTTTCTCGAAGCGCTTCACGGCACTTTTGACGCCCCTGTAATTATGTTCTGGATATTAATTATTTATTAGTTCTGGGTAATTCATTATATTGCTAAATTATGAAGCTTTGGCAATTACACGACACCATTAATCTTCAAATTAACATACACCATTCTCGAGAGCTTTGCTTAGGTTTAGATAAAAATGGGATAAACAGCAAGTGATTTTCTTCTAGAAATGAGCACCTTGTCATTAAGACTTGTATGTGGTACTATGGACACTCAAATGACTAGGTTTTACATGACATCGAACACATTTTTGTAGAGGAAGTGGGACTCAGTTTTTTTTTAAATTTTTAATGGGATAAATTATTGTCACAAATGTATATAAAAATCTAGAAAATGAAAGTCTTGCGAATAAGCAAAGGCTTATTCGCAAGACTTTCATTTTCTAGTATAATTCAATTCAACAGTGGTGGTTGTGGTGGGTAGTGGTGGTTTCTAATCTGTAATTTTTCTGAAATATGAGCCTTTTATTTTTGACTAATACAATTGGACATATGCTTTTGAGGCTGGATCATGTGAAAAATATCTCAAGTGATGTGTCTATATTTTTTTAATCTGCTTGTTAGTAATATAGAAATAATTTTTCAGAATTTATTCACCCCATTTGTCTACCAGAGATTGATGAAAGTGCAAACTTCACTTCAAATACCATATTCAAAGCGGCCGGTTGGGGTCTGGTGGATTTACAGAATAGAGTTCTCAGTGATGTAAAACGGCACGTGTCGCTGCCATACGTGCCTCTAAACGTAAGATACCGTCTTATTGTCACAATAACATTCTGCTCTGTATCTTAGGGTCGTAAAACAAAACGTTACCAGCTCATATACGTTACCGCAAAGAGAATCGAGCATACCCTAAATTAGTGGAGGTTTGAATCACTAGGACATTACTAATGGTTTTATTTCATATGTGTAAAATACTATACATACGAGTATTGCATCACGATGTTTCCTTCGCCTAATCATACTTATAATATAAATGCGAAAGTTTAGATGGAGAGATGGATTAATGAATGGATTTTTGTTAGAGTTTGTAAACTTAACGGCTGAACGTATATCGATAAATTTTGGTATTTTTTTGGTAAACCTATGTGGTCTTCTAGACTATTCTCTACATCTATGCAAAATATCTTGGAGATCCGTTCAGTTGTTTAGAAGATAACTTCTAAAAAACTTGATGATGGCACAAATTAAAAAAAAAATCAGTTATAACGTTTTTAAATTTCGATCACATGTTAAATGTTACCAATAAAAATTGCACTACTATAGTAATTGTTCTTTTACACTACTTCTGCATCTTTTATTCCAGAAATGTGAAAAGGAGTACGGCAAATTATCGAATAATCAAATATGCGCGGGAGGGGAGGAGGGTCAAGACAGCTGCAATGGAGACTCAGGCGGTCCATTAATGTATAAATCGCCTAACTTAAGTTTAGTTTATCAAGTGATCGGTATAACCAGCTTCAGCCACTCTTGCGGACTACGAGACGTGCCCGGAGTATACACCAAAGTCTTCCCAGTCTTGCCGTGGATTTACAAAACTATTAACGAATCTAAAGAAAAAAAATAAAACTTGACATGAGAATCGCTCTTAGGGCCTGTCGCACCACTGTCTGATAAAGGCTCTGATAGCTTAAAATGTCAGATAAAGTAACAAAATCCGATATTTTATATGTTGGATTGTTATCTGAATTTACAAGAATTTGTTAGTACTGACTCTTAATATAGCACATGCCTGCTACATTATTTCAAATTTTGAAATTTATTTTTTTATTGCAAAGATTTATAAATTATGTACCTACACGAAATTGGTTTACCTTATTATTCCATCTATTTATCGCTTTTTTATAGTAATAAAGAACTATTAAATTTAATGGATTATTTAATTTATAAACGACTGAGTTCTTCATACAGCACAAGCTAATTGTTAATTAAAATCTATCAATCAGTATTTGATTAACTAACGTGTGGTTCGGACGTGTCAGTTGCACGGAAAAGTGAAAATGTCTTTGCTTTTCATTTCATCTGTTCTGGTGACCAATATATTTTGTCTTGCCGGTGGACGTAAGTTGAATTATTTTCGATATTCTCCTACATTTGTCGTCTACATTCAATCATAAAGTGATATGCTGTTTCCAAATCAAAAGAATCATCAGTAAAACATTACGAATACTAGTAATTGGGAGGTCTATATCCACCAATGGATTTGAAAAGATGATGGGCAACTACAAGGTTTTAAATTATTTAAACTTTCGTGAGACATTTTATAATTAATTATTTACGGCTTACTCACGTATACTTTTATTTTTCCGGTGACGGCACCGACCAGTTTCAGACCCTGCGGGGGTCCTTCTTCAGGGCAAGGGTTAAGTATGTGTCGCGTTCGCGTCGCGCTTCGCACTGCGGGCCAGCGCTCTTATATACTTAATCCTCGCCCTGAAGAAGGACCCCCGCAGGGTCTGAAACTGGTCGGTGCCGACACCGAAAAAATAAAAGTATAGGTGAGTAAGCCGTAAATAATTAATTACAAGGTTTTGGTTAAAATTGATGAATCTTTTATTTGAAAAGACAACATGAATCAATCTACAGAAGACAAAGATATTCTGAACTGGTTCATACTATAATACTGAGACCACATTATGTTTTGCAAAAAAAAATTCATCAATTAATTCAATACAATCTTACTTCTTACTAATATTACAAATGCGAAAGTTTAGAAGGATGTTTGTTAGAGTTTGTAGCCTAAATTACTGAACGAATCTCGAGGAAATTTGGTTTAGATGTAAAGGATAGTCTGGAATATTATGTAGGCTACTCACTTTTTCTTTAATTCCACGCGGACGGAGTCTCAGGCGAATGTAGTAAATTCATCATCATCATCTTCTTATCCTACTCCC